GAAGTGTAAACTATTATTGTGACTGGGAACTTGATTTGCTGTGTAATTCTGTTGTGTGCTGTCCAGACGTGACAATACGAAAAAAAAAATTAATTACAAAAACGATACTTTTCAATTGAAGATTTGAAATTTTCAAGTTATGTCAAAGAAATAATTAATATAATATCCGTTTTCATTTGTATAATCTTAAATTTATTTATTTTATTTATTCATATTCTTATTGTTATTTTTTAAAATTAAAAAAAAGTGGTTGTTTGAAATATGATTTTTTGGAAAAAAAATAAATGAATTTTTTTTTAAACTGACTTGGCGCTAGGGTTGTTAAGTCCAAGCTAAGTCAAGCTGGACCGATGGGGCTGATTTGAGTCGTTCCAAGTCGATCGGGAGTCTATACACCAATGGGTCGAACTATATCTCATGTAATCTATATAGAAAACTTTCTTATTTCTAAGTTAATATTAAAAACGGTACTAGTTAACCTCAAAGGTGAGAATATTGTGCATCTTTTATAAAAAGCTCAGACCTGTATCATCAAATTTGAGAGAACAATTAACAGTTTAATTTTGAACGGATGAAAAATCTTATATAATCAAAATCAAGCGAATTGATATTGTTTTAAGCAACCTCTAAGACAAAAATTAATCATATATTATATTAAAGGACAGACTTATATCATTAAAATCGAGCGGATGATGTCATTTTAAAACTATTCATCCGTTCAAAATTTAATTGCTAATTCTTCTCTCAATTTTGATGAAAAAGGTCTAAACTTTCTATAGAAGATATAAGTTATTCTTGCCTTTGAGATTACTTAGTACTATTTTTAATACTTACTTATAAAATAGAAAGTTTTATATGTAGCAACTGTAGATAATTATTTTCAATTTTACAAACCCTTTCAGTTCATCAATCCATCAATATCAGTTTCAATTTGAAGCTAACGGGGTTGGTGGGGCTGATGGAGTCAACTTGAACTAATTAACACCATCGACCCCATTCAACCCATCGACTACGACGCTTGGTCAGGCTTGGTTTGACTTGTACCTTCAAGTCGATAGGTTCAGTTCGGACTTTGAGTAGACGTTTATAAAGGTTCTCACAGACTGTTCTTGGAGCAATATTAAGATTTGGGTAGGCTTGGTTAAGAACATGGCAATTTCTATTCTGCTATCCCATTTTTTTGAACTTGCTATTTCCCGTTTTTTGCAGTAATTTTTTTGGTCTTCCTGAACGTGGTTTAGGTTTGAGTTAGAAGTTTTTTGTATATTTGTATAAAGTGGACTTGGGAGTATGTATTTTATAATAAAGTTCAGATATGTCATGAATACCACATTTCCACAAACTGTCTACAAACGAACGTCTTTGAGTCAAAGAAAGTTGGATCGGAAATTTTTAAAGGATGCAGTCTTGTGATCAAAAATTATACTTATTTATATATTTATTGCTTAGTGTAACTTTCCATGAATCTTTTGTTTATACAAACATCGGCTAAATCCATCACATGATTTCCTCATTATTTTCCGCCACTAAGTATTTAGCAATTTTCAAAAGAGAATATGTTAATCTTTTTGAGCTTTACATATTTGTCAAGTTTTATTACGCCATCGTAGATAATTTTGACTGCATAATTTGACTATGAATTTATTCAATTGTGTACAAAGATTTGTTAAATCTTCGTAAGCAAGTAAGTGTAAAATCCAGTTGACGAGAGCTAAGGAAAGAAAAAAAACACCCCATAGAGTTAAAAATTCGTCATATACTGTATATGCATTTTGCGTTCATGAGTTTAATCAAAGAATTGTTCGACCGTAAAATTTTTATTCGGATATACTGTATTTATGGATGAATCTAGCTGTCAAATGTAACTACTCTTGGCACAGCTAATAAAAATATGTGTAACCTAACCCTAAATATAAATATTGTTGGCTAGCTTGCAGAGTAGTTACATGTTAGAATTACATTTTTTTCACTTTTTTATAACCCCAAATGAATAACCTAAAAGAAAATTAATGGATAAAATATTTATTTAAGCAATCTCCGAGGTCCGAGAAAATTGTGTAAAACTTGTAACATTGCATGAATTTGGTTACTCAATTCTATATTTGCTTAAATTGCATTTTTTTCGATAAATTCATTATCTTACACACTATAATCGAACACAAAAATGTCTTCTAATGAAATATGCCCAGAATGTAATCAAAAATATTATGAATGGAGGTGGTGCAAACCATGTAACTCGAAACATTTTCAAAATGATTTTGATAAATGGACGAGTGGAAATAACATAATAGATAAGTTTATTCAAGATTCTCAAATAAATGCAACTAGAGAGTATGAAGTAACAGAATGGATACCATATGATATATTTAAAAATATTAAAGAAATAGGAAAGGGTGGATTTGGAACAATATATATAGCTACGTGGATTGATGGGCCAATTGAAGAATGGGATGTTGAAAATCAACAGTGGAAAAGACAGGGTCAACATAATGTAGCATTAAAAAAGTTCGATGATAATTTTGCAGGTTTAAATGAAGATTTCCTTAATGAGGTAAATATTTATTAATATCAGATTTGCAAATATGTTTTTAAAATTAAATATCATATAATCATTAATTATAAATTAAAAATATTTATTTAGATAACAATTCACTCGAAAGTAAGGAATGAGAATGTAATTTTTGCTCTCCCATTTTATGGAATTACACAAGATCCAGAAACAAACAAATATATTATGGTTCTAGAATATATGGAAGATGGAAATCTTAGAGATTGTTTGAAAAAAAATTTTAATAATTTTGATTGGAAACTAAAGTTAAGCTACTTATACAAATTGGCATCTGATTTTGAAGTAATTCATAAATTAGATATGATCCATCGTGATTTTCATCCTGGAAATATTTTATCACGGAACTTTAAATATTATTTTGATTTATGCGTCTCAGATTTTGGTTTAAGCAAGTTAATAGAATGTGATGTAAAAAATTCTGGAAAGAGACAAATTTTTGGTGTATTACCTTACATAGCTTCAGAAGTTTTAAGTGGAGAAGAATACACTAAAGCGGCTGATGTTTATTCTTTTGGTATTATAGCTTATGAGATAATTACTGGTTTCGCACCATATTATGATATTCCACATGATATGGATTTAGCTAAAAAAATATGTACTGGATTACGACCAAAAATTCCATTTCATATTCCTAAATTAATTACTAGATTAATTATGAGATGTTGGGATGCTCGAGTTACTCATCGACCCACGTTTGAAGAATTGAAACATGAATTAGTTGTATACGATGCGGATTATGAAGAAAATAATTATGAAAATTCTAATGAAATTACAATTCAAATTGAAAATTCTGAAAAATTATCCAAAAACCTAAGATTAACAAATTCAACCACTCCAACTCCGATGAATTATAGAACGCATCCAGAAGCAATTTATACCAGTAGGCTTCTCAATTATACAAATCTTCCAGAACCTAAGAATGATGAAAATTATGAAAAGGAACTTGAAAAATTAACGAAATCTACTTCTGCTTTAAGCATTAGTAAGTAACAATTATTTTTATCATATATTTTATTACTTTGCAATTAAAAATATTTATTTATTTGTATATTTATTTAGTCGCATCTGAATCATATGTACCCGATTTTTAAATATTTTTAAATATATGTTTAGAAAATATTTTACAAAAATCTTAACGTCATATATGTTATTTCAATATAATACTTCTCAAAATGATATAGATATGTTATGCATCATGTAATGCAGTGAGAAAATTCAAAATTCTTTCAGGCATAAGTTCAATTTAAAATTTCAGCCGAATTTGTTATTTTTATAAATTATATTAATTTTAAACTTTTATTTATAAGCTCAGCCATTATATAGTTACACTTCATACTTTGGAAACTCTTTACATGAGACATCATATGACCTTTTTGCTACATCAAAAAATTTCAATACTCTGTCCCTAAAAATACTTTAAAATACTCTTAACAACAATCATCATGTCCACTTTATTGTAAATGAGATATATATTTCAGATACAATTATAAAAACATAAAATTCATAAATTTCTTATTAAATACATAAAAATCATTATATATTTATAAAATGCTTATGTAACACTTTTGTAACACCTTGCACAATCGAACTGAACAAATTGTCAAATAATCATAAACTCACCTCATCACGAAATATCTAATAATCCAGAATCGGCCCCAGTTTAAAATAATGGTGTCCAGTGTTCCAGTATTTTAATGTCATCCGGTGTTGTCCAGTGTTTCAATGTTCCAGTGTTATCCAATATTCCAGAAATCCAATATTATTAAGTAGTATTGTTATCCATTATCAAGTATTCAAGTTTTATCCAATATTCCACAATTCCATTATTATCCAGTATTCCAGTGTTATTCAGCATTCCAGTGTTATTCAGCAATCCAGTGTTGTCCAGTATTCCATGTTATATACCCAGTGTCCCAATGTTATCCAGCATTTTCCAGTATTCTAGGTCTCAATGTCCAAGAGTCATCAAATATTCCATATGTTCCAGTAGTATTATTGTCTAGTATCCAGTATTTCAGGTTTCCAGCATTCTAATTCATTTAGCATTCCAGTGTTTTCCAGTATTCCTGTACTCAGTTTCCAACATTCCAGTGTTATCAGTTATTCCGGTGTTGTCCAGTATTCATATCCAAAGTCCCAGTGTAACAGTGTTGCTCAGTGGTCTAGTATCCATTGTTCCGGTGTTTCAGCATTCTAATATCATCTAGTGTTCCAATGTTGTTCAGTATTTCAATCTGCTATCTATATTCCAGCATTCCATTATTATCCAGTGTTATCCAGTATTCCAGTGTCGTCCAATGTTATCCAGTATTACAGTGTTGTCAAATGTTATCCAGTACTTAATGTTAATATAATCAATCCACCAGTATCCAGTGTTACAGTGTTCAGTGTGTCATCTAATATTCCAATATTCCAGTGCTATCCGTGTTGTCCAGTATTCAGTGTTCCAGCGTTCTAGCGTTCCAATGTTCCAGTGTTCCAATGTTATCCAGTGTTCCAGTGTTGTCTAGCTTTTTAGTGTTCTCCAATATTCCAGTATCCAATGTTCTGGTGTTCCAATGTTGTCCAATATCCCAGTATTATCCAGTATTACAGTATTGTCCGGTATCGGGTGTTCAGTATTGTCCAGTATCTAGTGTTCAAGTGTTATCAGATGTTGTTATTATAAAGTTTCCATATTATCCAGCATTTCCAGTATTTCAGTGTTTAAATATTCTGTGTTATCCAATATTCCAGCATTCCAATATTATCTTTTATTCCAGTATTATCTGGTATTCCAATGTTTATTATCCAACGTTTTTCAGTATTTTAGTGTTTCAATGTTCCAGTGTTTTCAATATTCCAGTATTCCAATTTTATCCAGTAGTACTGTATCCAGTGTTCCAATATCATTTATTGTTCCAGTATTGTCCAGTATCCAATGTTCCAGTATTATCTAGTGCTCTTGTATTCAGTGTTGTTCAGCCCAGAGTTTCAGTATTGTCTAGTATTTCCAGTGTTTTCCAGTATTCTAGTGTTTCGATATTCCAGTGTTCCAAGATCATCTAGCATTCCAGTGTTGTCCAGTAGTTTCAATGTTCTAGTAGTATCCAGTATTCCAGTGTTTTCCAGTATTCCTAGGTTTCCAATGTCATCCAGTGTTCCAAGTGTTGTCCAGTATTCCAATGTTATCGAATGTTCTAGTGTTTTTTAGTATTCCATTTTTCAGGTTTCGATGTTGTCCAGTGTCCTAATGTTGTTCAATGATCCTAGTGTTATCTAGTGCTTCGATTATTCTCAGTGCTATCCAGGAAAAATGCTGTTAAGTGCAGAAAAATAAGAATGTAATAAAGGTTATTAGATATATATTCATAAAGAATAACCTTTTTCAAAAACCATCTTTGACATGCAAAGTGTTACAATTTGTGCTATGAGCATATTATGAACATAAAGAAAATAATATTAAGATAAAGTTTCGCTATAAATAAATGATAATCTTGACTTGAGATATTCCTATTAAAATAAAGAATTTAGTGATCATTTTTTTTCAAATGTACCAATAATAATAAAAAGAAGAAAAAGCTAAAATATTAAAATATTAGGGAAACAAAATGTCATTAAAAATAGGAAGTAATTATTAGTAGAACAAATGAATAAGTATTAGCAAAGCAAAATCATTAGTAGAATAAAATCTTACATCTCTAAATCCATTTATTTCAGTTCTTCAATTGTTTCGTAGCCTTCTTCAACCGTTTTGATTATCCCGCCTTGAAAATTTGTTTTAAATAGAGAAATTAAGTTTGATAATGAAATTTAATTGGAAACTCAAAATAACAAATATAAAATTTTATACTTCAATTGTTTTTTCGTTGACTATTCATCTTACTTATAAATCCAACAGATTTTGGCTCTTTCAAATGAAAACAGCAAGTAACAAAAAAATAAAATTTATCTGAATCCATTGGCTCCAAATCCCATTTTTTATCCAAATCATATTATTTCGGCTCTTTTGAATGTTCGAAGCATCAAATTAGCTACTAAACTAAATATTTTTGTGGAAAAAGTAATTGAATTTCATATTGGAATAGGATGAGGATAATAAAATACTTGGTTGAAGTTTTTCTTCCTCTCTTAATTGATCCCAATTCAACAGAACTGTAACTCTTTTGTCATCTTGCACTAGAAATTGTTTTGGCATGTAAAATAGAATCACAAGATTATACTGTACATTGCAAAAATCGAAACAAAAGTTGTAATTAATTTAATTTCCCCATTAAGCATTTCTTATACCCTGGAATCTTCACCCAAAACATTAAATTTTTGCCAAATTAATTTGAATTATCAAGTTTCTTAAATTGAAAGAAAATTTATAAATCAATATTATGTTTTAAAATCAATAAATACCTTTAAGTAATAATAGACTTAAATTTGAGAAATGGAAAATATAAAATTTGCTTTGCTTACTTAATTTCAACTTATCAGTTGATATTCTAGTTAGATGAAATAAACATAATAAAAAATGCAAGCGAAAAGTCAACTGGAGCTAATAAATAATGAAAAGCAATGCATACCGAAAAGGAATTCCGATTTTAGCTAATTTATAATATATAATACAATAGGGTGGCCAATTTTTACTAATTTTTAGCTGATCTATAATATAAGAATTACCATTCAGTATAATGATTCTTTTGTATTTGACTAGGGGAATATAAATTAATAAAAGTAATTAAGAACTCACATGACAAAGTAATTAGATGAAAAACATAGTAAAAAGATATCTAAAATTAATAAAAAAACCCGCAAAAAAGAAAAGTAGTTAAATATTTACAAGAAAGATTATGGTTAGGATGGTGCATAATGAAACATTATGATTAAGTTAACTAAAAATAAAACAGAAACATATGTAAAAAAAAGCATAGTTTATATATATAATTATTATTATTATTGGCGTAAAAACATCCAAAAAAATTAAAGGTATTAAAGATAAAAAGTCATAGTTACATCCAAGGTGAAGAGAGTAAAATTCATTTTCTTTATTTTTGCGAGAGGAATGAAGAGAAAGAAATTGAGAATGTGGGAAAAAATATGTAGACCAATTTTCTGTTATATAATTCTAGTGGTCATTTTTGATGTAATCATTATGTTATTTTAAAGATTTTGATCATTCCTAACAAAATTCAATTACCGATAATAATTGATTATTTAGACTAATTTCCATAAAAATATTGATTTTGTATTAGTATACTTTTTTATCTAGATGACTTTTCAATTGTTATAATAAATATTTTTTTTAATGAGGGGATTTATTACAAAAATTTAAATTCAAATTCATAAGAAGCTCCTCTTCATCTTTCAAATAATGACGAAAATGGTGATCTTGACACTTTCATATATTTATTGCGGTAGCATCAATCTATTATTCTCTCTAAATATGGCTAACATAGAAGTTGATATCTCATCGATTACACATGATTATCATAATTACTTCTGGATCACCAATCAATTCAATCCTTAGATCGACCTAGACTCAAATTATTTTGATAAAATAGAAATGTTCAGATAAAGACGATTTAACTGAAATATCCCATGTATATCTATTTTATTTGATTTTACTGTTGAATTAATACAAATAGGTTTCTAATTATTCTAAATAAAGAAACAAATGTATCATAGATTAAATTTATAATCTTATTATATAATATAATAATTTAGATACATTCTATGAGTATTAACTAATATATAAAGAGTTGATATACCAATAGGTATTGCTAAAGGAAACCACTGGTGATTGTCTCCACGATGCTGAGTTACATAATTCACTGATCAACTTATAATAATAACTTTGCCCACATAAATTTAATTTTTCCCAGTGGTGAGCTTTAACAATATCTTTTATTAATAATAATGAAAAATTATAAAACTCAAATATAAATTTTCATTCCTCCTGTCAGAATTTGTAAAAAATTAGAAAATTCAAATAATATTTTGATCAAAATTTACAGAAAGATGATTAATCAGGTTTCAATATAATGTTTGTTATTTTAATTTATTAATAAAAAATCAAGACTACATAAATATACAAATGCATACACATATCCATTTATTGATGACCTATCATTGCCTAGGAATAATCAGAACACTTTTTTATGGTTATTGTTATTAAATAACGAATAATTGCATTTCCAATCTAAAAAAGTCTTTTTAAAACTCATTGTTGTGTTGTATGTATGAGAGTTTGAGTAATGGAAATTTAAATTATTGATATAATCTTTGGTTTTAAAAATAAAAATTTATTAATATGAATAAAGGCGATAAACAAATAATAAATTAGTTATATTATAAAATGTGAAAAATGTAAAATCATATATAGAATAGAGATATATGTAATATTGAATAAAAATTCATATACTCAAGCTTCTGATATATATAGTGTTGGGATTAGGATTATTATGTGGGTAATATCTACAGGAATGATGTCATTTTCTGGAAGAGCATGTGATATGAAATTAACTGTAGGACTTCGACCAAAAATTAATGAAGGTAAACCACAATTTTATGTAGAATTGATGAAAAAGTGTTGGCACAAAGATCCATCCAAACGTCCAAATGCTAAAATTGTTGGTGAAATAGTAAATGAATGGGTTGATATTAATACAAAAAATTCATATATGTTTTTAAATGCAGATCAAGAAATACAAAATGCAGATTTTCAATTATCAGAATTATCATTAGATGAACCCAGGCATCTCTCACAATTAACATTTTCCTCTTTTACCTCCTTTACAAGATTTAACTTTAGATCTTAGCAAATTTTTGAATCATAATATATAATGTTTGAAAATCAATTCATTTAATGAGACTAAATATATTATTTATTATCAACCTTTTTAAATTATAATTGTTTAAATTTTAGCTTTATCATTTTATCAATTATTTTTTTTTGATTATTTAATAAATATATAAAATATTAATTCAAAAAATTCATAAGTTTGACTTTTATTATTTGCATTCATTGTTTATTTTTTATTGTTTATATTCTGATCCAAGACAAATTTAATTTTATTGTAAGTGAAATGGTTGAATGTACAAAATTATTCATTATTACTATGTTTCTTATTTTATTTTTATCTAAGATCTTCTTTCAGGAGGCCATCAAAACTTTTCTTTTAGTACATGTGAATTGACTGAAGATATTATAATATTATATTAGACTTTGTGAACTTGTAATAAATAAAATAATAATAAAATAATAAATAATAAAATTAAGATGAACAATAAAAAGGACGTTTAATAAATTATTCATCGTCTTAACAAAATTTATCGTATTTAAGAAAGTTGATGTAATAATGACGAAATTTATGCTTTTCAATCAATCTGATATAATAACGACAACAAATAGCTTAAATGATTCAATTAGCCAGTTATAGTTTTAGATCATTTCATACAGAGAAGAATAATAATGAAATTCACGCTTGATGATTGCATTTTTATTCATCAAATGATTAGGTTTTATAATAAAGTTACGAAATGTAAATGAGAGAAAAGATTATGAAAAATAAGTAACTATTATCGATATATTTATATTTAAATATTTAAGGTAAGAATTAATTAAATTAATTATTTTTTTATAATATAATATAATTTTATTTTATTTTTGTGAAATTAGAAGAATCACAATGAAATTATCTTTCATGCTTCATTTCTCCAAAAAGAAGATAAGAATAAAATTATTAAGCGATTATAATTATAATTCAAATAATGAATGTTCGTCATTAATGTCCAGAAATTTATTCATTAATTATCAATTATTTATTCATTATTTAAAATAATTAAAAATAAATGTATATAAATTTTCATTAATGTAAATTATAATAAACAAAATACTTATTAATATTTTGTAAATTATACTAAACACATAAAGCTTATATAGCAATAAATAAAAGTAAGTATCAAATATATATATATATATAATCATACCTACATAACCACGAACCCAAGATAATAACTTCAACAGATACTAATAATAAAAGTAAGCAATATTTAATTATACCCCATATTTAAAAAATAAGATTTACAATTTATTATTAATTTATTATATATACATATATATTTTATTTTATAATTGAATTTTGTTAAAGCTATTTATTTTATTAAAATTCAAAACGTGGATATACAGTATTTATTACTAAGTAAATATTTTGAAGATACATTTATATTTCCCAGTCAACGGGTATTGGTTCATGAAAAAAAAGCTCTGTTGAAATTAG